ATATCTTTCGTATTTTGTCGTTCATTCAAAATGTAGATGTAAGTATATTATGTAGATTTTTTCATGAAGTACAATGTATTTGGTAAAGAATTACCAGTTTTGAGCCCTTATATTTGAATATTTGTGGCTATAAAGTTTTTGTAGGAAACGGATGAATTACTTTACCTTTTTAGTTTCTATTTAATGTTTCCGACATTTCATTGATTTTTATAACAGTATTTATGCCCAGTCCTGTAAAAGCGTCCAACATTGGTAATAACCAATCCGTACCGTTTTTTGTGTTTCTAATAAATAAACGATAAAAAAACTAAAACCATTCAACGCGTAAACTTCATGTTCAAACTCACATCATCTTTGAAATCGTCATGTTGATTAAACTGTACTGATTATTCGTAAGGCATATTCCTCTGCAAAGAATTGGCAAGAAACTCCAGATATTGCTCTTTGTAAATACTCGTATATATTTGTACAGCGCACAGTTGCTGTACTTATTATTTTTAAGCTCTTACGTCGGAATCGCATCGTTTACACATTATTGTCATCCCTACGAGCTAACTCGGATTTTCATATAAGTATTTTACTAATTTAATTTATACAAATTCGCCGATTAATAGAAATATCTTTTGTTACAGGTCTAATACAACAACCACGTGTAATCAACTGTATTAGAAATTAACATGCAATTTACAAACTCTCGAAAAAGTAATCTTAGTGAATATTATTTTAGTAACTAGTTATTACAATGTTACATAGTAACAAGTAGAGAGAGGAAATGTGGGCCAATTCCACGTATAATATTACGTCGGCGAATCTTTTTGTGAACAGCCAGGATCCCGCAAAAATGCAGGATATGGAGGTAAGAAATGATAGACATTTATTCTATTACATTTTGTTAATATCTGCATGTTGTTGTAAACGACCGATATTGCCTTCTTTGACTATGATATTTTAAATTATCATAAGGAAACAATCTGTTTTTTATAACTGAAACTATATGCAAAATAATAATATAATGGTCTTATATAAATTTATATTAAACTTTATATCACTAGTGGAACCATATTACCGTGTGATGAACGTGTGTTTAGTAGCAGTAGAGCTACTTGTGAAACAGTTCATCTGGGGAGTACAGACTGCCACCATTGATCGACTTGCCACCTTACCTAGTTCTGCCGCCATGCCGTAATATGAGCATTATTGCGTTTCGGTTTTGAATGGCAAGGGTGCTGGTGAAATTACAAACATATGGGACTTGTCAATGTAGCAATCGCGAAAATTTAAGAATGAAATTTTTCTTCACTATTATTATTCCTACATTGAGTTTCATTGTGCACCGCTGGATGGCGTTAGTGGTATTCTGAAACACAAGCAAATTTGTTAACTGTTTAGGAAAATACAACGCTTGTATGACAGAATGATTTCTATTACTAACAGTGTTATATCGACATTTATTATCCGCTGCCTTGCTTCGGCACTATTTTAAATACTGTGCTTTTACGCCCGTGAGACAAAGTTTTGAGTCCATAATAATTAGAATTTACTTTATTTTTTACAAAATTTACACAACCTATCTAAATATATTTATATAAATATCTTACAACAAGTGGTACCTTACTTAGTCTGTCTATGCACCCGTCCCCGATACCTTGCTACAATTGAAGGTATTCTACCGAAACTCGACCACCCATTAGGGGTTTACATCCCGCCTGAAGTCACCTCACGCCGTGTTCAATACCATAAAATGAACTTCTAATATTAAAACCTTAAATTGCCTATTGAGTGATTAAAATTTCTGAATAACTCATGCGTTCATCTAAATAATGTTAGGCTTCGGACATTGGACTTGTTTACTAGATGGCGCTTACATGGCGCTTACAAACAACAAAAAAAACCAGCCGCGTGGCGGACTATGGCCTAAACACTCGCCTGACAGGAGACCCGCGCTCAGCAGTGGAACGTATAAATGGGTGGATTATGGCGGTATTTTAACCCTTATTGTTTTGATGTCCTCATTCACATATGAAATTGTTGTTTTAACAATTTATTATTTATCTACAGAGTTATTCCTTTGGATGATCATACGCTACTATGAGAATTGACCGTTATACACCTAACAAAACAAAATCATTAACGTTCGCCACCATTTCAGATTCCAGAAGTAACTTGTACATATTTTATTAGCAACAGAAAAAAACGGCAAGTTTGATAAAAACTGTCAAAATCCTTTCTTGAGAATGAACTTTATACAATTTACCGCAGCGTTTATAAAACTATTTAACAGCGCGGTTAGTTGAGTACTTTTGTGGGTCCTTAATAACGTAATCTCGTGGGCGGGCGAGAAAATTCTCATTGGGGGCGTATCCGAGCGTAATTGTTATGTTTTCTTGCTACACAATCATTCAAATAATATACTAGATCTGTATATAAAACTTTATAGTACATAAAGGATTAATTACTTTTTGCTGGTTTTGGTTTGCGCAGCTCTTGACGATGTTTTGTATGGGGTTGTTTTTGGTTGGTAATTATAAGTTACTATATATTCTGCCCTCAAATAGCAAAAAGGTACAACTGCTGTATAAAGTAAGCATTGTTGTGCCTTTTTTCGTTACGAGGGCAGTATTGTCTATCACGATGTTTATATATATATATTAGTTTTTAGATAAGTTGAAAATTTTAATGAGTTTGTATTCAATTATTGTCTAATTATGTATGGAACTTTATGTTTAATTTTAAGTACTGCGGTAATCTATTACACATAAGACGCTGTTAGATTGATTCCTTGGTAGCTTAAAAATATTGTTTTTGTAACGAATTACATAAAAAGGTTGGGAAATTATTTTTCCTACCAATTAATTACACATACACTGAACACATACAAAAGTGGGATATCAACTGTGAACTGGCAACCGGTAGTATCTCAATTTTGACAACTTTACAGGATGAAGAAAAAACTTCTTTGCGTCATTTATACAGCATCTTCTTTATTAAATTAAAGAGACGCTATACACATTTTATTAAAACAATTCTTTAGTGGCGTCTGGTAGTCGGTTTTGTTTTCAAAGGTCAAATTTATTTTAAGGAAATTTATTAGCCTGGACCAGAAAATAGCTGTATAACAGTCACGTTTGAAACCGCTTTCCAGTTATAAATTTGAATACGAAAATATACGAGCAACTTCTAGTACTTCTCGTAAGACCGTGACCAGAAACTTAATGCCTGATTCTTACTGTCGTTGTTATGACACGTCCAAGCCTGCCTTTTCAGCTATTCAATAAATAAGCAGACATACAGATGACAACCCACAGTTGCTATTTTAATGAGCTCCTATTTGATTCATGCACAGCTACGGACGCATCTGCGTTACCATGGGTGAGCCTCATGATGTGTGGGTATGGGCTAATTGCTATAATCATGAATCGTGTCGGACCCCTTTGCTTAATTGTGTGTGTAACTATTATATTAATCTGTTGCCTTCAAACTTTCATTCAAGTGATATTACGGGAGCTTGATTTTATAAATTAATAAAACAAGTTTTTTCATCATATAGTAAGTATTTCTTGAGTTTAAAGATAGAAATATGAATTAAAAGCAAAATTGAAAAAATCCTAACTTTCGAAAACGAATAACTTTCAACTTCGGGCTTCACCGTTTGGAAGTTTTACTAACGACACTTCCTTTATTGTCTAAGTTATAATTGTAGCATAGACGTGTTAAATTTAATATTTGGAAAGGACTCTCCACGAAATAATAGACTCTGCTGAAAATTAATGACATTAAATAATAATTATAAATGTATTTAGAAGTAGTAGTGCTCCTTGTGAGAGAGCTAGTCCAGTACTTCTGCCACCTTACCTATTTATTTCTCCCGCCAAGAAATAATGTCAGTATTACTGTGTTCCGGTTTTGAAGGGTTAAGGGTGCTTGTGATATTACAGGCTCATGGGACTAGTCAACTTATGTCCAGGGTGACGAGCGCAGTAGTAGTGCCCATCAGATCTTTGCAATTTAAAGCTCTGAGTGGCACTGCAACTGGCCTTATTCAGAGTGGTGGCGGGCGCGGGCTCGTTGCGTTCCAAGTGGCCGCGTGTGTACCTTTCACAGTACTTACACTAGCGTCCAGCGTTTGTTTGCGATTTCGACGTGTGGATCTATCCGCTCGTAGCCGCTTCGACACTGTGAAAGGGAAGATGCCAAGACCCGCGCTACCGCACCCGCCGTCCCCGCGCTTGCGCTCTGAATGAACCCTTATGGACAGACGTGTAGCTTACCATCGGGCGCACGACTTGTTCGTCCAGTCACTTGATATTTTAAGAAGAATGTCAGTATCAAATATTCAGTTATCTTACTAAATAATATTCAGATTACTGAATATTTTGGTAAAGGCTATAAGTATAATAAAGTATAAATGTTTTCATAATCCTTTTGAAACTCGGTGGTAAAGATTTTTTTTTATTGAGTGTGTGCACACTCAATATAGCCCCGATGATCTAGTATCAGGCTGTTTATAGGCAACCATATCGAATTATTTTTTGTAATAATGAAATACAGCCACTCGCATCGGATTTAAATGCACAAACACCTTAAGTTTTTATCAATTTCTAGATTGACACGTTTCCACCCACTTCCTCAAAAAAAAAATCTAAATTTTTTAAGAATGTTTCATTTTTTATAAATATACAATATTCAGCCTGATATTCTTTTCAGTAAAAATTACATATTAATAAACAGCGACGTCGGCTTGACAAGAACGATAACTTAATAAAAAAATATAACTTATGTACATTTGGATAATTTCTTAAATGTAAACATGAATATAGAATGCAATTTGCTTTGCGTTATTGTATTAACGCTTGAAATTTATCTCGTATAAAGGAATTTCGTATTTTGGTTACCTAAAATAAGCAAGATTATAAAAATCGAGTTGTTAAGGTTTCGCGACAGTTACATATAGGAAATGTACCTACTTTCCGGATCTAAATCGCATATATTTGTTTTTTAAAACAAACTAAGTTTCGGGCCCTTAACGAGTCCCATGGTTACGACAGACAGTCAGTCAATGTAAGAATCGCGAAAACCTAAGAACTCGATACGGACTGCACGTTATATTCATTCAACCGTGACCTGACCTGACTAAGACCTGTAAAAGGCCGGAAACGTTGGTTTGTTTGAAAATAACAAGTACTTCTTCGCGATTTAGATCCAAAAAATAGTTTAATCAAATTTATTGAAGCTTGATCTGTTAGAGCAGATGTCCAAACGACATTGATATATCGTAGAAAGTTCTTTTTTAACATATGACAACCTTGAATTCATGTCAAATATGCCAGGAACTTGGTTGCGTGCCAGAAACAGAAACATAAAGATGAGACAAAATTAATAGATGGCTATAAAGGGAGTTCGCGGAAAACCCGACTCCCGATATGGTACTATCCTGGCATTATAACAATCCCCTGCTGCAATAACAAATTCTAATAACAAAGTCATTTCCGAACGACAAAATCTTTTCTGAGAAGGGCAGGCAGTAAAGACTGTGACAACAGAAACTTTAATAAACGTTAAAATCTATTGCTTGTTGAGGTATTGACTATAATGCAGCGAGTTATTTATTGGAGATAGTAGCTATCATCGATGTGTCGCCAACTTAGGCTGCTAATGAATGAACTGCACGTCTGCAGTCGAACCTTCAACTGTTTACAGTCGAGAGTTAAACTGCGAACATCACCTGCAGTCAATATCAACAACAACCCGAGAATCAAATGTAGCATTTGACGTTCTTAAGGCTCAACTCACACTGGCGCTGAGTTGAAGCGTCGCGTCGCGTCCTGTTTTTCAACTACAACACCTGCCGACGCGCGACGACGCTCGCATTAGTGCGCCAAGATCACAGTGTGGTCATCTGTGTGGTCATCTGACGCCTCACTGCACTCAAGTAACGCGCTTCGACGCTTGACTCCATATTTGCATAACACAAATTTGTACCTTAATGATGGGAAAATTGAGATGAATATGCTATAGGCGAAAAACATGACGTGTCGCGACGCTTCGACTCTGCGCCAGTGTGAGTTGAGCCATTATGACTTTTTGTATCCGAAACAATCTTTAGTAGTTAATGGCAAATGGTAACAATTACTTGAGGGTTTAATGACTTAATGGTAAAACAAAAACACGATTTGTATTTCTGCACCATTTGTACAATTCTTATCCTTTGTTTATATTTTTGATCTCAAATTCCACCGCAGAGTATAATATAGTCTGGGATTATGGACGTGAATTTGTTGACAAATTAATATTGAGGATTTCGACAGTAATATGTTTATTTCCTTAATAAAAAAATAAAGACAGTGTTTGGAATCGTAAATGTTTTTTGTACATCAACATATTTCGAGTAAGTGCAGTTGTATACATATCAACTTCGCGCATGCATAGTAGCCTTAGTGATATTATAGTTATCTCATCAAGGTATGTATGTCGGTTATCATGCCGTACTGCCACGCAGAGGACCCAGGTTCGATTCCCGGGCCGGGAGAAATATTTGTATGGACTACATTTATTTAAATAAAAATATTAAAAAAATATTCTGAAATAAAGCTAGTGTACCTGCCGCTCGACCCAACCTAATATAGAATAAAAATAAAGAACCCTATTAGTACGGGAAAAAATGAATTCGAGCTGAAGTAGTATCAACTCTTAAACACTCGGGCGATAAATTTATTAAATAGCCAGTATTTTGTAAATTGATTATTATGTTTTGGGATATTGAGAAATGTGTAACATTTAGTGGCACGATACAGCTCCACATAAAGTTATATAGAGCTACATAGCTCAATACAGCTCTATATACCCTGCACAAAGGAATTCGCAAATCTCTGTATATTTGCTCTGCTATAGAAACGTGATTGATACAAGATTTTGCAATCTGACCTCGGTTTCTTTTGTGTTTGATACTGGTCGATATCTGAGTTAGGTATTCTACACAGAATTAAAGAAGTTTTTATTGCACGCTAATGTTATATGGTTATTTCACAACTTTTAAAAAATGTTTCGTACATTTACAAATGTAACAGAACCCCTTTGAGACGTACTCGATTCTTGCACGTTTGTGTAAAGTTTTAAATTTCTTTAATTCATAGTGAAGATTTTTATCATATTTTATGAATATTTTTTATAATTTTAAGTCTCTCAACTACGCATTACGCACGAATATCGCTCCCATATTAGTGAAGTCTGTCTTAATAATATTAGCTACGCCGACGATATGGTGCTGCTGAGTGCTCCTGTTTGCGGCTTGTCGAAGCTGCTTGACATGTGTGAAAAATATGCTGTCAGACACGGTTTGCTAATTATAATGTGATAAAAGTGAATGCAAAGTCTTCCAGGCAAGGGGAGGGTGTCTAGATAAAATACTATCTGTTCACTTTACTTTTGGGTGTATTCTTAAAAGAGTGGAAAAGTTTTAGTATCTTGGACATTTTGTAACCTCGGACTTGGAGGACGATGCTGACATGGAGAGGGAGCATAGGGCGTTGTCTGTTAGAGCTAATATGATAGCTCGCAGATTTGCCCGACGTTCGAGAGACGTCAAGATCACCCGCTTCAGCGCATTTTGTACGTCCTTCTATACAAGTAGTCTGTGGGTGAAATATAAGTTAAAACGATACAACGTGATACGTGTCCAGTACAATGATGTATTTAGGGTGCTGTTGGGGCTGCCTCGGTTTTGCAGCGCATCGAGGATGCTTGCTGAAGCTCGCGTAGATGGATGTGCAAGCGGTGCACATCACACTAAATATATTTGCTGAACGCTTTGACTGTGAATACATGAACCGTTGTAACATGATGCATTTATTGACTAAATCTAAAATAGTATTCTAATTCTAATGTAATTTTATTATTATTTAATTTTGTACAAAACTTTATTTTTGAGTTTAATTCTATTAAATATTTATAATGTATGATCCATGTTGGTCGAAATAAATTATTTATTATTATTATTACACAAAAAGTTTTCTACAGTATGAAAAGCTTCATCATATTTTCTTACATAAATGGCTAGTGTATCGAATTTTAGTATGAATGATTTGTATCGTGGAATCGAAACTTTCATTAGACTTTTCTTAAGTAGGAGAAGAATGGCTATTTGTTTCAACGTCTTAAAACAAACAATAATCTTCTATATCAAAATGCACGTGATATACGAAATGATTCAGACTCACTTAATATTATTCCTATGATAACGTAACCATCCTGTACATATTATAATGAAAATATCGCATTCAAATTTAGCGCTATGTCACAGATTACTTAATAGTTTATATTCTATATAACCACAGTGTTTCTAGAAAAACTGAGGGAAACTTGTTTGTACCTGAAGCATTAGTAAATTATATTTAGCTCATTTTCATGTACATACGTCAGACGATCCGGATTTGAACTTTTTTTTATAACATCAAGTGACGAGACGAACAAGTCGTGCGCATGATGGTAAGCTACACGCCTGTCCATGACACTTGCAGTGCCACTCAGAGCTTTAAATCGCAAAGATCTGAGGGCTACTGCCACTACGTCTGTCGCCCTGAGACGTAAGTTGACAAGTCTCAAGTACCTGTAATTTCACCAGCACGCTTACCCTTCAATACCGGAACACAGTAATGTTGACATTACTGCTTGGCGGCAGAAATAGATAAGATGGCAGTACTTCCCTGGACGAACTTTTTCACAAGGAGCTCTACTACTGCTGTACTCTCGATGATTCGGGTGTTCGGACATCAGAGAATGCTGGATAGACAACATCCGACGATACGAAGGTCGAGACGATACGGATGATTGGGGCACAAGGTAGCCAATAGTGAAAAAAAGGAAGAGACCGGCAGGCCATCCAATCCTGGATGTACCCAAGATTGGATCACAAAATGGCCGCCATTATGATGACGATGATTGGGCAATTGGGGTTTTTTCCTATTGTAGTTTACTCGGTCTTAAGAGGTCAATACTGGGAATTATAAATTAATAAAAAATTGCCATTATAGAAATATAACTCTATCTCTTTACCCACATGTATCCTTATTTTGAGACACCGCGTTATGAAGATTTAAAATCTTCTTTATTGCATACTGATGTTACCTGAATAAATATTATTATACTCAATATATGTAAATTTGGGATTTGATCTTCAAATCCCAAATGTCAGTAATACACTGGGCTTTTCATTTTATATCACACGTGGCAGAGAATAAAGCGCGACATGCTGTCCGTACTCTAAAACCTTTTATCAAAATCTTTGATCGATTAAGGTATGTATAATGTCAATATTTAGTTTTAATGAAAATTAATTTCCGTTTAATAATGGAGTTGATGTTTTTTTATTCTTTTATGATTCTCATTTCATTGTGTTAATAACACGATTATAGTTCCCTAACTTTTCGAACTCGATTACGAAATATGTAACCCTTTTCCAAGATGACATCAAACAGTAAAGACCAAAATTTTCCACAGAGAATTCAAACAAAGCTTACTTGTTTGCTGTTGAATAGGAAAACGCCGGCGGCACCGAGACCACCTGACTACCAAACTTGGCTGTGGTTTTACTCAGCGATTGTAAAGTTGCACAGTAATTACACTTGTTTCAAAGTGCGCTCCAAGCCTTTTGACGTTACACTAATGTAATAAATTTGTTTGTATGTACCCTAATGAATATATACGAGTAAAGGTTCGCTTTACTATTCTGTTGACAAATGGTTTCATTTATCAACCCTTTTGTTTTATTTGAAATAGGGTTTATGCATTGACCTACGGTTTATGGAATAATATTCGTACATTTACACACATACAACATAGGCACAAAACTATATGTACGGAGAAACGTCAAGTTTTTTAATGCTGGTATTTAATTGCTTACAGGTGGTATACACATGGGAGATGGATTTTAACCGAAGCCTTTTAGGGGCGGCTACTCTCCTGGTACCAAAGAAGCCAACACCAGCACCATCGTCTACGACTATGCCGATGTGGGCTCACAATTCCTGGGTGTGTCTCTTTGCAGCTATGCTGGCCGTTGCAATAGGAGGAAATGCTATCGTTATTTGGATTGTCACAGGTAAGTTACACAATATTATAATAACATAATTTGACGAATGGTCAGAAGTTCTCACACGGGTGTGTCAGCGAGGCATGTCGCGTACCTTGGGAGTAAAACTGTCAAACCGCGTACGGAACAGTATACTGCGCTTTAAAATAAAAATATTTGACATTAGTCAAAAAGTCGCTAGTCTAAAATGAAACTCGGCCGGATAGATTAGCAGCATGTCAAACGACCCGTAGGCAAAGACTGCCACGGAATGGATCTCACCACATGTGGAGGACCCAAAAGGACATGGCGTGACGAGTACTCTTGGCATTATAGTAGCGTTAAATCGCGTATAGCATTATTAAGTGGAGAAAGGTAAGGAAGGCCTCTGCTCTGCAATGGGATAGTTGGTAAAGACTGAACAACGGAAATGAAATGAAACAACTATTTATTATAATTATGAAACTCCGTCCAACCATTTATTTAACTTTTGACAAACGCATGCCTCCGAAGTTCCGTAAGGCTGCCTGCTCCAGAGATGTGCAACGTAGTGAGCCGGTGTGCGAGGAAAAAATCCACCAATAGGAGCACTTCATTTTCCTGGCCTCGCTTAGCGCGCTAACCCATTTTCGGTGGAAAAGGGTTAGCGGAGCTAAGTATTTGTACATACAAAATAGCGAGAGATGTCTGCGAGGAATGTGTGCAAAACGGTGTATGAAACTATAGCTACTGCTCTGCCTTCGTGGCCGAACGGTTACCACGCCGGACTGCCACGCAGAGGTCCCAGGTTCGATTCCCGGGCCGGGAGAAATGTTTGTATGGCTTACATTTATTTCTCTCGTGAGTTTGGTGTAATTTGTGGTTGTCTATGTGTGTGTCCATGGCACCCGCGACACAGGGTTTCCCTAGTGCGGGGCTATGTTGAGTGAGTGCGTTATTTATTTATTTACTGAAAGTATGACACTAACTGACACTGACCCTTCGCCATCTCTTACCCCACCACACCGTACCCCCCACGCATAGCTGAATAGAGTCCATAACGCATCCTCGCACCTCGGCACTGCACATCCTCTCACCGCCTATCTACCTCGCACAACTTTCGTGGAAAACATTCCACCGTTTTATAGCGCCGCTACACATCCTCACACCGTCTCCTCGCACATCTCTGGTGGAAAGGCATCCTTATTATTGACATACAACCATTGACAAAAAATGCAATACTTCCTGGACTCTTTTGTTTTTTAAGTTTAGAGAAGTGACGTGCTCTTTAGGTCTGATAATTATCGAGCCATCAAATTATGTTACGAAGACTCTTCAAGTTGCTAAATTTAGGCACAGGGTCAACGGCACGTCAAGCTTTACACTTTAGACTTAAATCTTACTCTATGCCGCTTACGATAAGAACGGTTCAAAATACAAAGTGTCATGCTTGATTTGCTCTTGACTGTGCTATAAATTATAATGAAATGAAAGAAATTATAAATAATTGTAATTAATTCTAATTGTTTATTATAATGAATCCTTGGATTCTTCTCCAAATTAACGGGGATCATCACTGGAATCCTCATTAACATTAATTATTAATTCTTGAGTACTTAAACTGTCAAACGCAACATCACGAAACCAATCAGAAAATATCTTTTCTTTGGAACCCGCTGATATTCACAATTAAAACTTCTTCAAAAAAAAAATCAATTGTTATAAAAAAATCAAATCGGTAACACATTAGGACATCACTAATTGATAAGAATTCGAGCTGTCAAAAGTTAAATAAATTGTTGAAGGAGTATAATACAAAGATCGAATATTTAAAAAAAAAATTCTTCGATCCGGCCGGATTAGAACCGACATCTTTTAACAAACCGTGCCAAACGCTATGCCAACTAAGTCCCGGAACCAGCAGACCTCATGATTTTTTCTAAGAGCTTGTTTTCGGATCTTTGTATTTGGTTTTCAAGGACTTTTTTTCACAAAAAAGTTATTAAATATCAATTCAATACACATTTCACGAGTATTTATTTTCTAAAGATATTTGAGATCTGTTTCACACTTCTTATTCACGGGTTACCATTCCGTTGAAACCGTTCTGATACATCAGGATAAGATTAAAAGTCATACCGTGGTACGAAACCTATAACTAGTGATAAAAAGATAATAAAGTGATAATTTTGTGTGTGTATTGCCCACCTCTATTCCTTCTACAAAATACTACCACCGAGATTAGACATTTTGCTTACAATTTTTTGTTGTTTTGATAATTTTTTGCCTATCGTAATTATTATTCATGTATTATATACATATAATTATTATATTTGTAGCTCATGTGAAAGAGTTCGTCAACGGAAGTACTGCCACCTTACCTATTTGTGCCGCCAAGCGGTAATGTAAGTATTACTGCGTTTCGGTTTTGAATAGCAACCCCCGTTCATACGGCATTGTACTGCACGTTTTTTACAGTATAAATCTTACATCTTACTGGATAAACAGTGGCGCATACATTAGATATAGAGCCGTTCACACGATGTCTGCCCTGCAAAAAAACGCACACAGCTCTATTGATTGACCTTGATCGAATTTTCGAAACTTGGGTGTATTAGGGCAATTTACAATCTGGGCCCCAAAGTATCTTTGAGAGATAAG